TCTGTGTCAACACTATCACGCAGTGAACTGGCGAGAGTGATACTCCAACAAATCGTTGATTGCTGTGGTGTGGGATATGATGTTCTTACACCCGCAGGACTCACGGTGCCCTCGGCTTCGCCTCGGGTGCTCTACGGCGTTGTACATACGGGCATAGTGTCCTGCATCACCTCTACCAATAATTGTGAAGCAGGGAATTTGTGCGATGTTGGCGTTCAAATAGAAAAATAAAAAAAAGAGGCCCTTGACGGACACAAAGGTAAACTAAAAAACATCAGTGAAGCCTATTGTGAATGGTACAGGTGTCCGCTCATGATATTGTAGTCTCCGCTGAATGAGATTTGGATGAGATTGGGCTTGTCTTGGAAAAGATGGTCTCGAATTGGCGGATCTCGGGCGGGGGTCTGGGTTGAGGTTCGGTTCATTGTTTTCGCACCTTATTTTACAACTACTAAGAGTTCATAGGGTTATAATTTAGTAGTTACTCTCGAGGCAGGACGGCCAGTCTTGAAAATCCTGGATACCTGTCGCTCTTTCCCAATCAAGACTTGGATTTTGAGAACTCTTTGATTTGTACACGTATCACTCATATTATTTTTTAATATTTCGTGTTAAATGTGCATTCTTTACCACTGTTATGAATTCTGCTGGTTTCACATGTAAAAAAATAACGTCGCTACATGCCTGCAATGCTGTTCCCTTTAGGCCAAAGTGTTTTGATCGGGCATTCTCCCCATGATCATCATAGGACTTATTCACCTTGATAAGTACGTCTATGCTAATTCCTGATATATGTAATTAATCTTTCATACACGTGTGACGGAAGAACGGTCCGATACTGTTTAACGCATGACCTGTTGTTACACAGCCTTCCACGGCGGGGCGAAAGTATCCATTAAATATTGAGACATCGCGTCAGAAAACGCTCGCTCCCAGACGACTTAATGAACTGACAACTTCGCACATGGAAAAGGAGGCAACAAGGATGTACCGGGTATTTTCATCAATTTTCTGCATAATGAGCATGCTTACAGTTTGTGACATGAAGAATTTTGGCGAGATTCAAGGTGCCTGGGAATTTATAAGCACTGAAGGAGATAAGCGCCAGAGGATCTGGATCATAATCATGTACCCAAACTACATTTTTCTACATCTCAATGGTCTAGCTACTTGGAAAAGATCGTGGGGTGGGATTTTCCACAATGGCCACTCTAAAATTTGGATTAAATACCCTTTGAATGGGAAAGAGCCACGGACGTCATATAAAAATAGGGACTCAAAAGAATGCCCTTACTCAGCCCAAACAGGTCATTGAAACCATCATGATGAACATTAACAGGTTTGAAACCGAGAGATTAAAATGCTCTGCACCTGCTTCGCCTTAAAACAGAGACTTCTTTTAATTAGAAAGCACTGACTGAGCCGTAACGACATTACAATGCAACAGATTTTACGGGCCAGCATATTCATAACGACTTAATGGAAAAACAGTATCTTGCATTTTTATGAATTAACTTTTAAGCAACCTAGTAAACAGGACGTAGCTTATACAAACTCTCAGACTTGGGGTAAAGTAGTTGCGAAAAGGTACGTCATAAGTGCAACCGTGCAGAAGTCCGCAACATAAGGGTGGGTCCCACTTTCTCCACAATATCAAGCTCAACGTTTCAGCTAATTGTCCTTTGTTCACAGTATTTAACTGGCGTACTAGAAGACAACGAGGTTTAAAATACCCCTGGAGATGGTCTTGGGCATGAAATGAGCATTGTCATATATTCATGGCCCAAGTGCCGACACGGGTTGGAATCTACATGCTGACTACAGCCCGCATGCCAGCAACGACGCGTTGTGGGGTTTCTTTGCCTCGGCGCACATCAAATGTCTAAATGAAAGTCGATGCTATTGGTTTTCTCTACAGACATTGCGAGTGCACAGTGAAGCGAAACCGAAGGACCTTTAACCCTACAAGAGCCGGGGGCGGAATCCGCACCCTCGATTTTTTTCCCAATACCACCGTTCTGCATTTCTTTTCAGGACCTGAGCATTCCGGAGTTGTGAGAGTAGTTCTTTGCAGTAATTTTAACACCAATTTTGAGAAAATCGAATATGCCGTTGTTGCGTAGTGCCCATTTTTCCGAGACAGATAAGCCCAAAACGAATACTTTTGCCACTGTCGTTCAAGGGCACACGGGTACACTGCACACAGTGTAACTTTAATCTTCAAATGACTGTACCAACAAAACTATGTTTCACTGATTTCAAACTTCATATTTGTAATAAAAAGTGTCTTTACATCCATACAAAGTTGCAAAAAAATGAGAATGACACGGTCGAGCCCAGGGGGGCGCCCCCTTTGAGGGTTAAGCACACACCGTACAGTATCGTTCATATTGGAATTTTTTTTTCTCCTTGTTCAGCGACTTTGTTAAAGAACTGTAATTTTACTGAAATGAAAATTTAGTTGAACGCAGGCAAACAGAGGGGCATCCACATTTTGTGAAGAAGTGAACCTGATCCATGAAACTAAAAAATGCCTAGAATCACATTTTTTATCACAGGCAAACTTTTGTACATGGCTAACTTAACCAAAGCGGAACCAGTATAACACAATTCGACATATAGCGCAGGACCATGACAAGCAAGGGGTCCTTTGATGCCAACCACGCAGCCAAGGTCTACAGCACGTCATCAACAACCCATGACACTGACAGTGCAATTCGCGGTAACTCACTTCTCCAATGTCCAACACTGAAACATGAGTTAGACACATGCACTTAAATAGACATTGAAAAGTAAATTTTCAGATTGCATTTGTATGTTTAATGTACTAACAACCATCTTAGAGCAATTAACGTCATGCATTTATATATATATTTAAAGTTAATTGTAATTTACAAACAATAATAACTTTCGGCCAGAACAGCTTAATAGTCGAACCTTTATGCAGCGTTTCTTTAAAACGAAAAGTATGAAGTGATTAGCTTAGAGCTAAGTGGCTGCCGTGAGGCAAAAAATAGGGAGTTTTCGTCGTATTTGTAGCTAGTTTGCAGGAATAACGGATATCAAACTGTTCTAAAAATGCAGCACATGCTAGGCATGCATGTACATTTGCCTAGTCCTTTTAATACCTTGGAAAGAAGCGATTAAAGCAGCAAATGGCGATTTAAATGAACTCATGGCACAAAATTCTGCTACATGAGACAAACTTGAGCAACTTGGACACAGTGTTTTTCAAATCAAGGCAAACTTTCACAATCATTTTTCGACATGCTGACCCAAAACCGTGGGCTGGTCCTTCACAGCACTCGAGGTCACAGACACGGGTCAACCGTATACTTATTCCGGGCTGTTACTTGTTAAAATATTACATGACAGATCATCTATTGTCATATTCCAGTTATGAGTATTCTTCCCCAGCAATGACGTCAATTGCTTCACTGACCCTGCGAGCGAACGTGCCCTGGGAGGATGTTATCCCAGACATGAGCTCATGCCAACACCACGGCGCCCTTGAAAACTTTGCATTATGCGAGCATGCTTAGTTACGTTCAGACAATCATTGACAAAAAATACTGTTATGAAAACAATGTCTTGCTTATTAATCTAGACTTGGCAAAATACATTCAGGTTTTGTCTACTTTCCCCTCCAGTGCGCCTAAAATTATTTTATCGGAGGTGAGCAATCCTGAAGTCCTTGAATTTCAAAATACATATATCTGCAATCTTTATGCACTATTATGAGCACAATCAATTTCTTCCACAAAAAAATGCTTAGGCCACCTTGCTCCTTGTTTTTTCTTGTTTTGTGTGCATGATTATTTTAATTACAACCACTCTTGTTTGACTGATGAACTCAATACTTGAAGAAAACAAAACAAAAAGAAGAAAAAAAAAAGAGTGAAAAATTTAAACATAAACAAACACGGCTTGGGTGGGGTATCAAACGAACTAACAGAAGCAATGCTGCACCAAGCCAACCCCCAACAACAAAAAAACCAGCATTTCCGTTGGCACGTTTGTTAGTTAATGCATTTCTGGAGCCATTTCCTGCACAGATGAAGAACTCTCTGAAGAAACGAAAACAGATTCATGAAACACTCTACCCTATGGAATCCTCTTCTCATAAAATTTCATGTCATGCTCACCATTGTGACAAATGGCCACGTTACGATGCAGAAATGCGAATTTCAGGAAGACTATAACAATCAAGCTTTCTGCAGGCTGGACTCAAGGTGGGTCTTATAACAAAACCAGCCAAACTGCCGTTCATCTTTCTTTTTTCCCCGTTAAATAGAGCGGCAGGTAATGGCGTGAACCAATGTCACATTATTATGTGAACACCGTGTACTTGGGTTGGGTGTACAGACATGCCTCATTGTACACAATGGTTGTAGGTAAATGGCAAATGCGTGTTCAACGCCATCAGGTGCATGCGCATTCAGTGTGCAAATGCTCCATACATGTGTATGTGGTGATTCGTATATCTTTGGAATAGGCACAGCAAATGCGTGTCATGACAATTTGACATCCAACACGCCGGTGGCAATCTGTAGGAAGGGATGTCATTTGGAAGAGACCTATAGCTAGGCAGCATCCAGTTTCTTTTCCCATGCACTCAAACCTTTCTGACAATTTACGAAAACATGTTTCTGAAACAGCTTAAATGAATTCTGACCTCAGGCAAGAACCTGAAGTCTAACTGTAAAGGGTCATCGCACGGGTCGCCAATTCCCTTAATAACACGATTTCACACATTCCAAAACACACATGTTTACATTACATACCTACTGTGGACATTCCTTTGTTTTTCTTGCAGTTAAGAAAACTCAGTGAAAATACTCATTTTTCTTCAACCAGGAACAAGATTTTTGGGCGTTTTTTTTGTACAAGGTTTCCATGACTATTCCTCTTCCTTTTACCACAGACGACCCCTACCCAAAAATGCCTCTAAACTCCTTTTCCAGATAGGGGGAAACCTTGTGTGGACATGTGCAAGTCCACACAACGCCATCGTACCCTGCATTATGTGGACTTCTTTTGTGCAGAGGTCCACACTATGTATGACACGCCTGTACATCGTAACATCCTCAATGAGCATGTTGGAGGAGTTAGATGTACATTTAAGACGGTGGAAAAAAGGGTTAGAGATGGCACTAATGAGTGGCTCGTCCCAAGTGTAGATTTCCCTAAATTGGAAGAGGAAAAGAGATATTATGGGGCTTGTGTTATCTGCATATTTTAAATGTTGCACTCGTGTTCCTAGTTACAGCTGGCTGGCTATTTAAACTCTGTTATGTGTCATTAGAGACTGTCAGCGTCCCTACCGGTAGTGCATTTTTATTTCAATCGCACACCCCATGAATTAGAGGCAAATTCTATCTAGATTACTTAGCAACCTGAAGCAAGTGATAGCTGGGAGGAGACATGCAAAGAGCTGGGGGGGTGTTAGAATGGTGTCAGGTTTCGTTAAGCTCTCCTGGCTCGGTATACAGGCAAGAATGTGGCATGCTCCGGCGCCCAACTTCATGAGGCAGCTTAGCAGAAAAGGGTTTTGCGAAGGCTATGGCTTAAGATATGAAATTACCCGGTAGCCAGAAGTGTAATCAACTGCATGATACATTGACTGGTTATCAGGGTTTTTTGCTTCGCAAACATCGGTGGGCTTGGCAAAGTCCTGCACTTTCAGCAACTCCGTGAAGTTATACCCAGGTGTTGGTGGTGGTGGTGGTGGGGGGGGTCTTTAGGGCTTGTTACCGTCATATTTCACAGGAGCTGGTAGAGACAGATCAGCTGCACCTCTTCCCTGGCCTCCTCTTCCCGCATCCACATGGACAGATGGTCCAAGGGCAGTTGCTTGACCCAAGAGGGGAGGTCCATTGACAACTGGAGACGTAGAGAAAAGACAAACACGATGCCCATTAGGAGAGCAAAGGCAAAATGAAGAGGTGAGTTGAGGTGTAAAACGGTTTCATTTCTGAGGAGGGCCCATGGGTGCCCCTAATTTTTTTCCGGGGGGGGGGAAGGGGGAGGGAGAACTGAAAGCAACCTGTGGCTTGTTCATAGGCTATGAACAGCTCCAATTTCAATGGGGGGGGGCACAGACTTCTGTGTAGGATGGGATGGGGCAACCTCTCCATAGTTACCTGTAGGTACCTACTGTGTAGTCTGTGCACTGACCACACCAGTGGTAGAAATAGATGTCTGCGAGTTGAGGGATGAGGATGACCAAAGTCCTAATATCGCTAGGCCCTTGAAATTCGTAAAGGGGAGGGGGCGTGGACACTACATTACATTAAGTGTTGTTATTGCGAGCTTACACACCTTACATGTACATGTCCGTGTTTATCAACATGGGGGGTATTTGAAGTTTCTCGGTTCAGCTGTTGAAATGTCCAAATTATCCTCAACACAAGCATTATTTTGTTCGACACCATCAAAAGTAAGATGGTCCATCCTCCATTTGGTTAAAGAGTAGAGAGGGGGGCTACATACATGTACATATATCCCTACCCCTCAGGATTTACCCCCATGGACTTACAAAAAGAGCACCGCACAGACAAGCAACAAGTGGCCTGTACACAGCACAACATCTCTCACAGGCTATGGTCTTCATGAGTGCATGGTAAGTGGGTTCTTCTTTTTCACTCGACATCTCTTGGGGCTGACAGAGTGCATGCATATGGGTGAACGTGTGGAGTGCAAGGTCTTTTCAAGAGGGCGCCTGGTGCCAGTGGCATTAATGTATCGATCCAGTCTTTGCCTTTGCTATCAGTAGGGGGGAGGGCAGTTGATGGTGCAGAGAGCTCAGAGCAGTCTCCCCATTTTGTCATGCTTATGGCCTCATGCTAGACAATTCACTGAATCCAGACATCCAAATCAGCACCACCAGGCCAGTCACACCATAGGACTATAGTGCTTCCCGGGCACATCACAGCAACCAATGTAATTTCAGAGTGATACGGGACCTTGTCTCACCTCACATGATCTTTAATGTATTAAGGATTTAACACACACATACAAGGGATGCAGAATACTATACATGTATACACGGCACATGCATGCCATATAAGCAGACAAGAAGTCACAAGGGAGCAATGGAGCATCATGTGCCCTTCTCGGCTGGCAACCAGGATAACATTGCAAACAATGCTCAACATTGCCAAAGATTTTTCCCGCTGGACAGGCAGACTGTACACACAATGTGAGAGAGCAATGTGCATGTAATACCGTATGCACATATACAGTAATATAGGGTTGGGTCTCGACGGAAGCCAAGCCAGTCTTTTTGACTCGGCACAAGGCGACAAAACCTATTAGTGAAATCCTCAATCACCGCAGAGTGACTTGCAAACCAGGTGGGGTTGTCATTGTGTGCATGGTACCTGGCCTCACCCTTTCACATTCATGCCACAAGACGCTGTTACCCTTCTCTTGTGAAAACACTGCTCAGGCAATGTGCCATCTTCTTACAAACTCAGCCATTCCCTACAATCATGCTCTCATAAAACCTTGAACTTCTGAAAGTCAAACCTTAATTAACCTTATACATGTATGCTGCTCCAAAAAGCATTTATTAGATTGTACTGATCACATAAGGATATTACAGTAAATGGTGAACTAATGAAAGCTGGTTTGTTTTACATGCGTCAGGAAACAGCTGTTGGGCAGATAACGTGGCTTTTTTCCTGGAAAGAGTCCAAGAAACATGATGATGAAAAATCCACAAGTCAGTCATGTTACAGAAAGTTGAAGATACACGCACATGTACATGTGAGATGCATAACAGGCAGCATGCATCCACCGAATCAACAGTCAAAAAATGCAGATCCTCTTTGACTTCCGCTCAGAAAGTGTGATATCAACATGTTTTCATAGTAGCAATAGCCTTCCCCTTGTACCCCAATAAACCCAAAACAGTCTCTTTTATGATGTCAGGACTATAAATGGACATATTTGTAGCCTTTGAGTAAAAGGTTAGCACCATGCTGCTACCACAAACCTTTTCAGTAAAAGGTGAAATAAAGTAAAACTGAGTTTTACTTTATTTTTTTGTCACTTTCACCATGAAAAGCTTCAAAGCTCATATTTGTGGCCAATCAATCATAAAAAAAAATGTAATTTGTTCAGTTGGACAGACCCAATGAAGATTTAAACAGATTCTAAAAGAGAAGGAAACAAACTTTTCCAAAGATTTTGTTTCATTGATTTTCAAAGTAATATTTTACTTTGAAAATGGAGTCGAAGGTCACTGGGATGTGTCAAAGGTCACAGAGACCCACTTTTCTCAAAACTTAATTTTCACGGCATTGCTGATTAGAGTATAAAATTCTCATTTTTGATACCACATTTACATAGTTTATGTTCGGTAAAAACTTACAGAGTTGTGATTTATCTTTATTAAAAGGGTGGTGTTTTAAGCTAAAATGTTCTATTCCCAGTGATCTCTGCCCTGACACCATGGAATGGCAGATCATGCCAACAATTGGTGTGTCTTTATAACTCATCAATGTCTTCAAGCACAGCAATTTTTGTAATCAAAATTGGAAGACCTAAGGTCAAAACGCAGTGTTGGTCTGACGTGGAATGACCCAGGTGCCAAATAATACAACTTGTATAACACCTAGCATGGTTAATGACTAAGGCCAGCCTTGTGGCAAGGGGGTTTCTCTACTTGAACACAGAGAATGTGAAAGGGGAGGGGGCGAGTCAGGGCACCTGGATGGTGTGGTGCATCCTGTTGACATGTTTAAAGAGGGAAAACTGATACTCTTGCCAATTAACTCCGATTTGTTTTCTTCCTGCTTTGAAATACAAGAAGTTCTTTTTCGATCATTTGGCCCCCTTTTTCTCCCCGACAAAATCACGCAATAAATGCAGTTGGTAATGCCAAGGCCACTGGGTGAGGAGGGCACTGCACACAAATAATTATTCAATTATTTGCCGCAAGTGCAACTCCCTCACTCGCTAAAATACATTTCTTTTTAGTTTCCCACCAATTTTACTTTCTTCGGGCCGTTTCAACCATAAAGACATTGGTAGAGAGTAGCACTCCTTTGCACTGTCGACATCACAGATACATTGCCAGCAAGACTTTGCTGGGTGTTTCATGCCGTAACAGACAAACAAAAATATGTCCTTCTTCCTTGTGGACACTCCTTCAACTTGAATTTTTGACTATGACTTTCTTGAATGACCCACTTTACTCCAAATCCTGAATTTCCTCTAAAATCATGTTCCATTTCGTGGGAAATGTTAGGTGGACCTCCGACCACAGCCTCACACACACATTCCATTCATGTAATCTTCCTCCGCACCCATGTCCACTACCAGGTACTCATGAGAGGTTAACGACCCTCTATTGGCCTTGATGGTGCTCCATCCTAGGACTTCATATATCACACAGTCTCTTGTCACTTGGGGGGGGGGGCAGGACCATGTCCCCCATCCACCAGTGGGACTGGAGTCGGAAACTAACTTCAGAATGAAAACAAAATGTGAGGAATTGCCAATGTAACTGATTGGAAGTTTTAAAGGGTATACAGAAATAGAAAATGTTTAGTTCACGTGACAAATATATAACCACTTCAAAAACATCGAATTTAATGTTTACCCCATTAATTGTGACCCCAAAATGAATAAAAAGACCCTGCGCACTCCCAAACTGATTTGGATGACATCATTGCTAGAACACTGACATGTACAGTGTACATGTACATGTCCACTGTGCTTAGTACCTGCAGTCTTGCATACTTCAAAAGACCACGCTGTGTTTGATGTAGCTTGGCCCAGAGGCAAACACTATCTCAATTCAAGAAATACTACGGTAGGACTGCGTCTTTTAATTTCTACCTTTAATTTCTATTTCTGTTACTCTTTAAAGGTCAAAATGTCACGTGATAAAAATTATCATCAGAACTAGTCCACCATCGATTAAAAACATGTGACTTGCTTCTAAAGCCCCTGACACTTGACTTGGTATTCCAAAGTGGGAGTACTTGTCCAATATGGACCCAAGTCCTTCTCAAAACAGGGAGTGAGATCTAGTGCAAAGGGTGCGCAAATCTAACCTATGAACAAAATGTCGAGGTTAGAATCCTGCTCCTGGCAATAGCTGTAAGCCTTGGCCAAGTTACAGTACAATGATTCATCTCTTTGGGCTCTCTGCACAAAGGGCTATAAAGAGCTTCGGCACTGCTGTTGAGAACCCGGCAATGAACTGGCATCCCGTTCAGAGGATAGAGCATTCCCAGTATTATACCAATACTTGCGAGAAGGACACCAAGATTTGGAATATGTCCTTTTCTCCCATTGTATAGTACAAGTTCTCAACCAGAAACCATTAAGCATCACAGAGTCTGAAGTTCCTTCATCATGTTTTTAGACAAGACACCCAAGAATTTCCCTTGACTGGAAGCGGAATGTGGAAAAAAAATGAGGATGTCCACTAACAACATGGAAGAGGACAATTCTGAAAGATGTAGTTGCAGAAGAGCTGATCTGGGAGGATGCCAAATCTCTTGCAGAAAACAGCAGAGGATGGAGATCTTTTGTTGCTGCCCAATGTTCCACTTGGAATAGGAGGACCTAAAGTCTAAGTTAGTCTGGTGCTACCCTTATATCCAAATGCACAGCATGCTGAGTCATGTGATGACATACATGTATGTACTGTACTACACTAGAAGCTGTCAAATGAAAAAAAAAGTACTCATAGAGTTCAGACTATTTGAGGAAACTGCAACGGAAATTCTCTGGAGTAATGGTCCAGAGGGAACTCGGATTATTTGTTGACATCCCCTTTCCCATCTGCTCCACCTCCTCAGAATGTCCCATTTTTACTGTCACTGTCATTCTGCCTTGGAACAAGGTCACACAAAACGGCAGAC